ACAAAATTAAAGGGAACACTAAAATAACATCCTAGACCTCAATTAATTAAATATTCTCATTGACAAAGTTTATTATTAGCACAGTGGAATTGATTGAGAAGAAAATGACACAAAAATGATCAATCTAATCTAAATTATTACACCATGGAGATCTGGATTTGGATTCAATTCAATATGGAAGTAGAAAATAAACATGACAGGCTGATTCAGCGTCAGTGAATCTTCCTCAAGACAAGTCTCAATGAGGCTCAGTGTGTGTGTGGCCTCCACGTGTCTATAGAACCTGCCATAAGGTACCAGGATGAGATCCTCAGACCCATTGTGAGACCATGTGCTGGTGCAGTGGGCCCTGGGTTCCTTCTTATTCATGACAATGCTAGGCCTCATGTGGCTGAAGTGTGTCAGCAGTTCCTGCATGATGAGAGCATTGATGTCATGGACTGGTCTGCCCGTTCCCCAGACCTGAATCCAACTGAGCACATCTGGGACATCATGTTTCACCAAGGCCACATCGCACCACAAACTGTTCAGGAGCTAACTGAAGCTCTGATCCAGGTGTGGGAAGAGATCCCTCAGGAGAACATCTGCCGTCTCATCAGGAGCATGCCAGGTGTTGTTGGCAGTCAGGGCACCTCTGGCTAGCACATGGAGGGCTGTGCATCCATCCAAAGAAATGCCTCCCCCATCATGACTGACCCACCACCAAACTGGTCATGCTGGAGGATGTTGCAGGCAGCATAACCTTCTCCACGGTGTCTCCAGACTCTGTCACGTCTGTCACATGTGCTCAGTGTGAACCTGCTTTCATCCATGAAGAGCACACCGATGGTGAATCTGCCAATTTTAGTGTTCCCTATGAAACGCCAGTCATCCTGCACGGTGTTGGGCTGGAAGCACAGGTCCTATATGTGGACGTCGGGCCTCATACCACCCTCATGGAGTCTGTTTCTGACAGTTTGAGTGGAAACATGTTCATCACTGGTCTGCTGGAGGTCATTCTGTAGGACCCTGGCAGTGGACCTCCTGTTCCTCTTTGCACCAAGGACGAGGTAGTGGTCCTGCTGCTGGGTTGTAGCCCTCCTACAGCCCCCTCCATGTCTCCTGGTGTACTGGTTTGTCTCCTGGTATCTATTCCATGCTCTGGACTCTGTGATGAGAGACACAGCAGAGCTTCTTGCCACCGCTCTCATTGATGTTCCATCTTGGATTAGCTGCACTACTTGATCAACTTCAGTGGGCTGTAAAAAACTCCTCATGATGTCTCTATGTGTGACAGAACTGACAAAATGAAAAGTGACTAAAAGTTCAACCAGAAAGGACGAGAACAGAGAAATGACCTGTGCTCACCACCTGCAGAATCACTCTCTTATAGAGGCTGTCTTGATAACTGTCTCTCATTCCTCCTGTTGTGTTTCATTTGAACAGCAGCAGCTGAAACTGATTCTCAGTAAGTTACTAACTAACTGCTGACATTGATTCCACAAAGGTGTGACTGGTTTGGAGTTACATTGTTTTGTTTAGGTGTTCCCTTTATTTTTTGAGCAGTATATATATATATATATATATATATATATATATATATATATATATATGTGTGTGTGTGTGTGTGTGTGTCTGCATGTCATCATCTATCATTTTATGAGCTTTTCAGTAATGATATATTAATCTGCATGATGTTTTATTTGAGTGTGTAATCCAACATACCTAAACTCAAGTGATAAATTACCTCAACAGCACAACCTCAGATTCAGCTGAAGCCTGTTAATGACTCAGTAACTAGGATCAGGAAAACCTCTAAACATCAGAACAGTGTGCCCCGAGAGCTAGTTTAGTAAAGAAACGTATACTACTGGAGGTGATGAGTTGACTCCTCACATGAGGCAGTGGAAGGTCACATGACGGTCATTCAGCTCAGATCTCCATAAAATCAAATATTTTACACAAGCGGAACAGAGACAATAAAAACTTTCATATTATTATAAAACTTTACAAGCTATTATAGTAAGAAATATTGTTTTATTGATGAAAACCAAGATTTTCATAATTACATTATTTCCCACATTTTACAAAATAATGTCAAATTAGAAAAACAAAAACAGCTTCTTGTTTTGTAGCTGGCAGCAGATATTTTTTTTATAATGTTGGTAAAAATGGCCATAAAAAGAAAAGAAAACTGTTTTTATCATTTAGAAAATATTTTTAATCACTTCATCGTATGATTGTTTATGTTCCCAGCCCTAAATGACCACTCCAGTCTTATGTTTAGCAGTTTACAGAATAACATTGAATCTGATGGCAAAACATCAAACAATCCAGGGGTCAAGATGGTGTAGAGGTAGGGCAGCCGACTCAGGACCAGAAAGTCACAGGTTCCATTCCCACACGTCGTGGTGTCTCTGAGCAGGACACCTAATCCCTAACTGCTCCCCAAGCACCACTGCTCCTCCTGGGTGGATCCCAGATATGATGGATTAAATGCAGTGTTTGTATGGGAACATACAATGATGACAACACATAGCACTTTATTTATTTATTATTATTTATCTGCCAGATTAAAAACAAAGAAAAACGTTTAAGGTTTCTATAATTTCAGTCTTCAGTGTTTGTGGTTCTGGGTCCTTTGTGCTGATCTCAGTGGTCCTTCTTCAGCTTGGCCAGACCCAAAAGGAGCTGGTCTCTCCTGTCCCTCCTGGCTGACAGATGCTGCTGGTCACTGGGAATCAGCTCACACATCTCCTGTGGTCAACAGTAAAGGAAACACGAGTTAGGCCCCCTCCATGCTGGATGACAACCTAGGTAAGCTATCCACAACACTTAGAAGGTGGCTGGAGTACAGTGCAGGCAGAGATGCTGCTAAGCTTTTAGCATTCGACAAATAGGATACTCCTGCCATGTTCTGCATCCTCCAGATGCACTCCTGCACTTTCACCCCACTCTATAGAGCCTGCGCAGCCAATCAGAAAGTCACGACGAGCTATTTTTCCCCCGGCTCAAGCAAAAAGATGAGTTTGTTTGTCCATCTGTGAATGTTGTGAGCATGCTAACTTGAAAAATTAGGTACTGACTTCCATTTTGGTGTGTGGCTACATCTGAGCGTAAGAATGGTTCCTTTCAAAAATTGGGTTACCATGTCAAAATCCAAGATGGCTGCCATCACATATGCATATATGTAAACCTTGTGAGCTGGGTAACTTGAAAGACAAGTAACATGCTAACATCAGTTTTAGCTGCATCTAGGTGTACAAAAGACCCCTATCAAAAATTTTGTTGGCAAATCAAAATTTAAGATTAATCTATGGTGGCCATGGCCCCCATTGGCCACCCACTGGCTCCGCCATTGCACTGGGTGGTGGATAAGATTGCTCCCCCCACATGCCAGGATCTGTCACTGTGCGCTGCTTCAGACAAACAACAACAACAACAACAAACTACCTCTATTAACAAACATCCACTACTCAAATCCCTCAGTGACGAAGAACACTGGTGTAAAGTGCTCTGTGTTGTCATCACTGTATGTTCCCAGACAAACTCTGCATTTAACCGTCACACCTGAGATACACCCAGGTGGAGCAGTGGGCAGCTCTGTAAGGGTTGGGGAGCAGTTAGGGATTAGGTGTCTTGCTCAGAGACACCACAACATGTGGGCATGGCTGGGGATTGAACCTGTGACTTTCTGGTCCCAAGTCAGCTGCCCTGCATCTAGCCTTATGTCTACAAATCACTGAACAGTGTCCCCCCCCCCCCCCCCCGACCCATCTCTCTGATCTGCTACAACCGTATGTCCCACCACGCTCCCTGAGGTCAGCGGACCAGTTGCTCCTCACAGTTCCAGGAACTCATCTTAAGCGCAGAGGTGACAGGGCCTTCTCTGTAGCAGGACCAAGACTTTGGAACGAGTTACCTCTGCTTGTCAGACAGGCCCCCTCCCTCTCGATTTTCAAGTCCCGTTTAAAAACTCACTACTATTCAGTAGCTTTCAACACCAGAGGATCTGTGTTTGATCCTGTATGCTCCACACTGGTTTGTCGTCATTATCTGCATCGTTTTTTGTCTATATTCTGATTTACTTCATTTTGTATTTTGCTTTGTGTGTTACCTGTTGTTCTGTCTGTACAGCACTTTGGTTGGCCTTGTAGCTGTTTAAGTGCTCTATAAATAAAGTGGTATGGTATGGTATTGCCCATGTCAGCCCCGTGATGAAAGATGTACTGCTGGTTATTATTTTATAAAGATCTTGTGGGATTCCTGTTAAAAGGAACAGTTTTCCCTAAAGGCCAGCACACACTGTGAAACGTCAAAAATGGTAAAACTCTTGTTTTAGTGCTGTCCAAATGCCCACAATAAAAAAAGTACTTCAGTTTAATTTGTATCCCTGAAATGCACATTGAGAAAAATGTTCTCTAAGAATTTCTTCAGTGAGAACAAAAAGTTTGCTAAGAGCACTGTAAAACAAGATTGACTGCATTTGTCCTCTAAATTAGTATAATTTAACAAGTTAACCATCTGTGAATAACATTTGAAAATGTGACTGCATATAGAGCAGAGTGAAGCAAACACAACCATGGCTGTCAGCTGAGAACTAAAGACACCATCAATCATCTTCTAAAGGGAGTAATCACAAATATTTAGAATCTAATTTATTAAATGACTTTGACCTTGGGCAGCACAGTGGTGCAACTGGTAGAGCTGCTGCCTCTCAGTGAGCAGGTTACCCTGGTTCAAACCCCGGTCCAGGGGTCTTTCTGGGTGGAGTTTGCATGTTCTCTTCGTGCTGTGTGGGTTTTCTCTGGGTACTCCAGTTTCCTCCCACAGACCAAAAACATGCATGTTAGGCTGATTGGTAACTCTAAACTGTCTCTAGGTGAGTGAGAGAATGGTTGTTTGTCTCTATGTGTCCCTGTGATGGACTGGAGACCTGTCCAGGGTGTCCCCCGCCTCTCGCACAGTGATTGCTGGGTATGGGCACCAGTGACCCCCACAACCCGAAAAGAAAAAAGTGGGTAAAGATAATGGATGGATGGACTTTGACCTCAATAAATGAACGCTGTTACATATTAAACTTTGTCACAAGTTTCCATAAAAAGCAAATGTGATTCTGATGTGTAATGTTTCACTCGTGTTACCTTAAAAATGCTCTTGGCTTCTTCTCCAAAAAAGTTAGGTACTGGCCCAAAGGAAGTCAGGTTCCGGGTTATTCCCTCCCCATAACGCTTCATGTAGTCTTCCAAACCTGTGAGGAAGAGGTGAACAACAAATCAGTGGGGGAACAAGAAGGCAATGAAGAAGCACAGCTGCTCCACATGAATAATAAAAATAGAAATCACTGAATATCTATGGAACACCAAAAGGCTCAAAATTAAATAAATAAATAAAGCATTATGAAACAAGTATCTAAGCTTATTATTATGAAAAAAAAGTCATTTTTATTATTTTATTTCATAATAGTGTTTTTCATGATAACTTATTTATTTCATAATGGCACTTTTCAGCAGAATGACTTCAGCTGTCAATCAAATCACTGTCAGTGGGTTGGACCTGCACGCCCACTGGCTGATCCTTCACATCTTCCATTAGTTCTATTTCGTATAGGCTTCGCCGTTTAAGGCTATCGCTAGTGGGTTTATCCCTTCGAGTACAGCATTGAAAAAACTTTACTAGGGATTTTATCCTCCTCCTCAAAAATCAGAGGAGGAAGCATCATTTCATCTCTGTCCCGTGTGCACGCTGGTATGTTATATAGCACACACGGCCCCTCTGCATCAGACTCAGCGTCTGTTTGTGCATTATAGGGACACTTCTGCAGGTCGCCCTTTATCTACTCAGTGCCTCTCACGCTGGCTGTGTGAGGCTATTTCTGAAGCTTACAGAGCATCAGGACTGGATCCTCCAGAGAATCTTAGAGCTCATTCCACCAGAGGGATTTCATCCTCTACAGCTTTGCATGGAGGGATGACAGTGGAGGACGTTTGTATGGCGGCTGCTTGGTCATCGTCTTGTTCATTTATTCGCTTTTATCTGCGTGATGTTTCCGCCTTCTCCATGACCTATTCTGTTCTCAGTGTTCTAACAAATTGATTTTTACTTGTTTCATGGAATTTCGTTTTAAACTCACATCTGACTGCAAGCAATTACAGTGTGAGACATTTATTATCAGTCACAAGTTAATGACTGCTGTTTTTATTGTTACTAATCAGTTCATGACTGCTGTTACCAATCAGTTTATTTGATTGCTAAGCAGTTCATTTTGTTATTAATCAGTTCATACTGAAGAGCTGTTGACCTGCTCTGCTCATCGTTACACGGTTACAATTCATAACCTCTGTTCTTTTCCATTTTCAGCAGTAGGACTGCATCTCAGCATTCCCTTTTTCCCCGTCGGAGAACTTTTCTGTCTGGGGCGCTCCCGTGCATGGAACGTGTAATTACGCAGCTCGTAATTACGCACACAGAAGGCTGAGTTGATTAAATGTTTTTTGGTGCAAGCGGGCGCTTCATATTGTGTCTGAATGGACTCAGTGAGGCATAGACTACATCCTGCTTCGCCTTTAACCTACTAGCGATAGCCTTAAAGGGCGAAGCCTATACGAAATAGAACGTTGGTTACGTACTGTAAACCCAGATTCTGAGTATAAGCACAGCCCTCTAAGCTCTGGGCCTCACTGGTTCCTAAATGGCTGAAGAAAAAAGCTATTTGGGAGCCGATTACCCGGTCTCACCGTAATTTATACGGACCGGGGGTGGGGCCCACACAGCAGGCAGGTGTGGACTAAAGTTTTTTCAGTGCTGCGGTGCGCGTGAAGGGATAAACTCACTAGCGATAGCCTTAAGGGCTGCACCTATACTCATAGAATCTGGGGTTACAGTACGTAATCAACGTTTTCCTGCTCACTGTACAGCTAGCATAACAGCTAGCAGCAACTTGCTAGGTCAACAGTTCAGCTCAGGTAACTTCAGCAGATCAAACTGAGAGGACTACGTTTTCAGAAGATACAGGTGTCAGGACAAAATGTGATGGACTGCCATCGATCGGCACCGTGGGAGTGCGCACGGGAGGACTCGCTGTTTTAGGTTGTTTTCACACCTGATAGTCCGGTAGACTCGGTTCGGTTGGGGATCAATATTCATGACATTTTGTTTACAATTGAGCTGGTGCGTTTGCATTCACACTGCACTGTGCAGTCGAGCCAACCTGTTCGAACCAAGAACTACTGAAAGAAACAACACAAAAACCTCTAAAGACACTTCTTCTTCTTCTGGAAATAAAAACAAAAACGGAATGGCGTCAAATTTGAGCGATTTTAGGAGTTCTGTTTTGTCAATTTTTCAACAATGGACTCAACATGAGCAGAAGATGAGGCAGAAGACCATGGAGAATATTGTTTTCCACACAAGGCAAGCTGACGGCTCCATATGAGGTAAGAGAGATGCCTGTTTGTTTGCCCTGTGTTGTACTCCTCTTCCTGCTTGCGGAGTGGTGCCCGGTCTGCTTACATTCACACTGTACTTGAATCACGCTCGAGTTTGTCTTCTACTGGACTGATACCTAGGTTTTAGACCGGGCCAGAGTTTGCCTATTTGTTCCGTGACAGAGTTCGATGGCGCATTCACACCTCCCCAAACGAACAGGACTTCCTAGGCAAACGGGCTAAAGTTCGGGACAAAAGGGCTGGTGTGAATGCACCCTTAGTTCTTTGAATTTAACAAGATTAACAATAGCTATACCAGTGAGCAGGAAAACTAATGGATGTGAAGGATCAGCCAGTGGACGTGAAGGTCCAACCCACTGACGTTGATTGACAGCTGAAGTCATTCTGCTCAAAAATGCCGTTATAAAATAAATACGCTATGAAAAACACAATTAGCAAATAAAAAAATAAAAATGAAAAATTTTCTTACTTCATAATGTTTTATTTATTTAATTAATTTTGAGCATTTTGGTGTTCCATAAATATCACTGTTTGGTAAAAGGTGTTCTCTTGTTAATGGATCTCCACCAGTAAACATCCTTCTATCCACCTATTCATTCATTATCTTTACCCGCCTCTCCCTTTCAGTGTTAAGGGGGGTCACCGGTGTCCATGTCCTGCCGACACTGTGCGAGAGGCGGGGGACACCCTCTCAGCCATAGCTACCCCTGGTTGACTGGTTAATTCAATTCAATTCAGTTTATTTATATAGCGCCAAATCACAACAAAGTTGTCTCGGGGCACATTACAGGAACAATCACATACATAAAAGCCAATTAGTAAAGTTCTCTATCTAAGGAATCCAGCAGACAAGATGAATCTTGGCTTCGTTGCAGTCTCCCATCCTGAGCAAGCACAGTGGCAACGGTGGAAAGGAAAAACTCCCTTTTAACAGGAAGAAACCTCCAGCAGAACCAGGCTCAGGACAAGTGGCCATCTGCTTTGACCGGCTGGTTTGAGAGGACAGGAAGGAGAGACAGATGAACATAGAATGGTAGGTCCAGGTATAGGTCCAGGTCCAGGTGTACATGAAAGACAAAAAAACACATGTTAAGGATAGAAAAAATAATTACAAATACAAAACAGGTTGAGCAGAGTAAGTAAAGACAGAAGTAGAGTGAAAATCATGGTCAGTTTGTCCTCCCGCAGTCTAAGCCTATAGCAGCATAACTAAGGGACAGCTCAGGAAACCCAAGCCGACCCTAACTATAGGATTTAGCAAAAAGGAAAGTCTTAATCCCAGTATTAAAACGGGACAATGTGTCAGCCTCATGGACAGAAACCGGAAGTTGGTTCCACAAAAGAGGAGTCTGATAACTGAAAGATCTTCCTCCTATTCTGTTTTTATAAAAAAAAACAGACTGCTTTGGGCTGCAGCGAGAAAATCTGACTCAGACACTGATTGGTTGAGTTTTCGACAGATGAGGAATAAATGTACAACTGCTGTCAAAGCAGCAAAACGAAACTATTTCTTATCTCAGACCTCCAAAAATCTAAATGACCCTAACAGATTCTGGAAAACCATCAAATCTCTCTCAGGCACCCCCCAATCATCTGACCTCCCATCAAAACTTCTCGTTAACTCTGCTCCTGTGTCAAATAAGCATGAGATCCTGAACTGTTTCAACAAACATTTTGTTGCTTCTGGTTCTTTATTTGACACAGTTACTAATGGAAAATCAGCCACTTCCCCTAATAACCAAACTTCTACAAATCAAATCCCTCCTACAAGTCAATCCTCAGTTAATCACAGCTTCTCTTTTTCTCCATTCTCAGTCAGTGAGGTCAATAAACTGTTAAAAGATCTTGATCCTAAAAAATCTGCAGGTCCAGATGAACTTCCACCTTATTTCTTAAGGCTGGCTGCTCACATCATCACAGTCCCTGTGACCCACATCTTCAATCTCTCCATAAGACAAAACTCCATCCCAGACACTTGGAAAACAGCCTTTGTTCTTCCTTTGCTGAAGGGAGGAGACCCCACATCACTGAACAACTATCGACCAATCTCTAAACTCTGCATTTTAGCCAAGGTTCTAGAAAAACTGATAAACTCTCAAATCAAAAATTACCTGGACTCATTTAACATCTTACCTCCACATCAATCTGGTTTCAGGAAACAACACAGCACAACCACTGCTTCACTGAAGGTTCTTAATGACGTTGTTGAAGCACTGGATGCTAAGGATTATTGTGCTGCACTTTTCTTAGACCTGTCTAAAGCTTTTGACACTGTGGATCATAACATCTTGTGTCATAAGCTCTCAGAAATCGGTTTCTCAGAAGACACCATTGGTTGGTTCTCTAGCTATCTTTCAGACCGGAGGCAATGTGTTCAACATAATGGTACTTCCTCCAGTTATTTAACATTCAATAATGGTGTACCACAAGGCTCAGTCTTAGGACCCACCCTCTTTACAATCTACATACATAATGTAGGTAAAAACATCCCTAATGCATCCATACATTTCTATGCTGACGACACAGTTGTTTATTGTCGAGCTAAAACAGTTGCTAAGGCTTTCCAGCTTCTGAAATCTGCATTTAACTACATCCAGACTGATTTGTTTCACCTCAAACTTGTCCTAAATGCCGAAAAAACCAAAAGGATGCTTTTTTCAAATAGGAAGTTGGTCCCAGCAGTTCTTCCTCCGATTTTATCCTCAAATGGTGTCCCCATTGAGTTTGTTGATTCCTATAAATATTTGGGTATCTTGGTCGACTCACATCTTTCTTTTAAGCTCCATGTGGAAAACTTGGTAAA